TATCCCACAGCTGGGACTCGAGTCTTCTGGGGGCATAATCTGTTATCTACCACGCTGACCAATTATTGAATTTTTAAAATTATAAAAAATATATTTCACTGGAATATTTGTTGTATACAAAGATACATTTTTATGGTGTACGACTGGAAATCGAACTCTCTCACCCTCTATCGATCGTAATAACGGAAGTGGACATAATATCAATAGTAACACAGCTCTCTTTATGACTAGGTTACCAAGATACCCTTTGGTCTCAAAGTGACACTACCGACTGCAGTCTGCATTTCTTATCTAAAGAACAATGGATAGATGAAATAACTATATTTACAGTTAGAAATAGAAAATATATAAGCATTCACGCTTAACACAATCTTAGGACTCCTAGGTATCTAACATAAATTATTTCACGCTTGTGGGGTATGGGACAAAAAAAAAAATTTTTTTGATAATTCCAGTTGATCAGACTTATTTGGCCTGCCTGAGCGAAATAAATTGTTCTCCTGGAATACTAATCCGTAAACATTAAAATTGAATTCCAATAATCTCTCATCAATTCTGTTTCAGAATAAAAAAAATATTTTACAAAAAAGGACAACGAATTTTCGATCACTACGTTTGATGGTCTAAGTCAGTATTAATAAGAATAAAGTAGCATCAGCAGAAGTGGATCGATATCACAATGTCCTCACCAAAATAGTTTTATTTTAAGAATGTTTAAGTTGTCTTGCTGCGTTAAACAAAGTTATGAGGCATCGCGCTGCTTAACACGGTGCCCCTGAACTATGTCAAATTCTTTCAATGAAACGTGTAGCTTTTTTAGTCTTTAATAAGTTATATTTAGTCCCGCTAAGTTAAGAACTGCGCGGCAGATCTCGGATTGAGCTGAACTTTCGCTAACTAAACCAACTTTATGGTAGTAAATATACATCGAGAGTCTTTTAAAGAACAACAACGACTACAAAAAAACGTTTTTCATTCCTATTTTTTTCACAATAAGTAATCATCCTTAAGTGAAAAGTCGTATGTTGTGTATTTTCCTCTTATATACCTAATCTCTTTCATTTATTGATAAATGGTTGACAGATTCAACAAAACCTTAAAATTAATGAAATAGAATTATATAAGGTAAAGGAAAGTTTATAGTAGAATATTGTAATCTTAGGTGTATGATAAATAACCTATTCCTATTACATGGTCACCATCTGGAGTCCCCTCTTCTCCTAAGATCATAAAAAAAGAACATGTGGTTATGTAATTCTTGTACGGACCAAAAATAGTATTTCAGCTCTACATCACGCAGAGCGTGCATGCTAGAGCGTACTTTGTAAAAATTTGTCACTTCATCCGGTTAAAGTCAGTGTAACATTTAGCAGACAATTACTTGTGAATACATTTTAAACGTTCGTGATCGCGGGCGCATGTTAAACGCACCACAAACAATAATAAAGAACAAATTGGATGATGCATGAAATTGTAGAACTCATTTCAGCAAATATATTTTCATTTCGTTTTAACATATTAACGTCCGACGAGCGCACGAACCCGCTCTCATAGCATTGAGAAGAACAGGTTAAAAACCATCGTCAGCGTGGCGTGCTGTTACCAACAGCCCGAAACGTTGACGATGCCGGTTCAAGTCTTGCTCGAGTCGAAAAATTTTTCAATTTATTTTCGGTTTTTAAATTATATAGTGCCATCATGTGCAAGAACATGAGAAAAATATTAAAGATTTCAAAAGAAAAGGTTATTCAACTCTGGAATACTTTATACAAATAACAACACGTTAGCCTGAACTAGTGAATTGCAGATTCACTCCTACGAATAGAGAGTTAAACTAAAAACTAAACAAGAGAAGATCTCATACAACAACTTATTATCTATTGACAAAGAACCCTAAAAAAATAACAGTAGTATACAATTTGAACACTTTCAATGGTTCAGACTGGTGGTTAATATATTACGGCTGGTGCGAAACATCCGAAACGTTCTTTGAAATAAATCAAACATAAGTTTTAAGTACTGCCTGCGTAAACTGCAGGCAGTACTTGTTCGTCGTTTTCTATGTAAACTACACAAGTTGATAAGGACAAGATTAGGGAAACATAATAAACAGGTCGTGGATTCCATTCCCATCAGATTCAACTGTGTTTTTAATTGTTTTTTGTTTCAGAGACATTCACTTTATTTGGTAAATCTGGATATTAGAAGATGAGGGTAGGAATATCAAAATTCCGTTCGCGTCACGAACCGTTCTGGAACCGTGAAATTTAATCGCGTATTGATTTTAGTCTGTTACTAATTCAAAACCAAAATGCTTGTCTGACCCCACTGTAATAAAAAGTCCAATAATCCAATGGTGAAAATCCTCACGCGACAACAACGTGCAAAATATTCCAATAACATTGTTAGTAAACTGATTAAACGAAGATCGAATTCTGCCGTGATAAAATAGCACTGGTGGTTATCATCGGATACATTAAAAATTCCTATATTTTGTTTGTAAATACCTATTATAATATTATCTAATCAAAACCAATATTTCTCACAGTGGAATATTTAGCTGTCACTGTTCACACAAATATGATTAATGTGAGTGCAACGACTTGTTTTGGCAACCCATGCGCATGCGAACAGAATAGAACTCTCAACTACCTCCATAAATAAAATTGATCAACGGACACAGATATGTGTTTGTCTTAAATGAAGTACCACTAACTGAAATTATAGTATTTAAATATTATTATAGACATATTATAAAGGGCCAAATTTATTATACACTAGCTGTGGTCGCGACTTCGTCCGCGTAGAATATTTTTTTTTTAGCATCATATTATCACGCAATGGAAACCCTCAAAAATTAATATTTCCCCTCGTTTTTTCCACATTTCCGACTGTTTCTTCACTCCTTTTTGTCGCAGCGTGATATTCTATAACCTAAAGCCTTCTTCAGTAAATGCTCTAACCAACACAAAAATAATTTTACAATTCGAACCAGGGGTTTTTTATATTAGCGCGTTCAAACAAACTCTTTAGCTACATAATGTAAGTATAGAAATATAATGTTTATATATAAATGGATATTAAACACGAAAATAATATGGCAGGCAGCTATTAAATAGTTTATGGCGTAGCGACGAGATCCAAAATCAAACAATAGAGTTACTAAATTTTATTACACTTTAAAATAGAATTAAACAAAACTAAAGAAGCAATCCGGTTCACAAAATTATTTTTTATGGCAATTAAGTGTTTTAATTTTTTACTTTATTAGAATCCGTTTACTGTTTACTGTTTCAATCCTTTCAGGCTTTACAATTGATGACAAGTAAATGGCTTATAACTTTACATTTAGGGAGAAAGAAAGAAAAAATAAACAAATACGAACGAACGAAAAATCAAGTATAAGTGAATTATTGAATAGGTTGTTTCACGATGATGATGAGGATGTAAGCGACAGTGGGTGAAAGAAATATATTTCATTTTTTCAAGTAGCACTTATTTGATCTTTCTTGATTAAGGTTATAGAATATTATCGGCTGTTGCTACTCCGGAGATAAGCCACTATCGTTATGAAGATCGCGGTAGGTATGTAATGTTTTATATAGAACTAGCTGTGTCAGCGACTTCGTCCGCGTAGAATAGTTATTTTCGCATTCCAATTTGTTTTTGCAAACCTCCTCCATATATTTGTAAATTATAGCTGGTACACACAACATCGAACGCGTCCCGTCAGTCTGGCAGTCATCTTAAAACATAGACATATTACTATTGCGGAGTTTTTTTTTATCAATTAAGAAGGAATCATTATTTGTAACAATTTCTTTATGAAGAGGTGGTTTGTAAAAATACATTTTCATGGCCAAAGTAACTATTGTCGCTAACACAGCTAGTTTTAAAATAAAATAAATTGTTTACTTATTTACTGTGACAGACACACGGTTTCTCACAGCAGTTGCGTTGATTATGAAATCATATTAGAACTGAGAATCTCGTCAAAGGTACACCATGTGGGGCTTTGGCCATTACTCTTTGACGCCTAAACCGCCGCTTTCAATTAACGACACGGCAATTTTCACAGGCGCATGCTTTTAATTAAATCCCAGGGCTCTATAAATTACAGAGAATGAATCTTTCTAAACACAAATTGTTTTTTTTTTTTACAAACACCAAGTGTAAAGCATGTCTTTCTTTTCCTTCGTATAGATAAAGTCTTTATTATTTGCTTTCTTATTACGAGCAAACAATCAAGGAATTTGGTAAATACAGTTTTCTTTTAGTTTAATGAATAATCTTACTTTAGAGATTTTCATAATAAAATCTGTGGGATTGTGTGTCAAACTTAACATGTATGTCGTTCTGGGTTCGAATCCTGGAAAAAACAATAGATTATTTCGTTCGGGCAAGGCAGAGAAGTCTGATTTTACTTGCCTGAAAAAGAACCACTCAGTAAAACAACAGTGCAAGCAGGACTTTACTAAACTAATATAAGTAAGTTCAAGGTCTCCGGAAAGAAGGGTTGGGAGCCCGACCCTTTCGTTATGTAACGCCCTTTTCTAGCTTCACTACTGATCTATACAATGTAAAATAATGTTGTTTTAAGAAGTAATCCAATTTTATCATAGAAAATAACAATCACACAAAAAAATCCTTGACAATCCTTGGTAATCAATCCCTACCTATTCCTGGGATTAGAAGTCGGGACTTCCCGCTTAAAACAATAGCCCTATTTAACACGCCACAAATTTCTATTATCTTATAATGAGCGACATTTAAAATGACACATTTGCCTCAAATGGGTATTAGTTTACACAATTACTCTTGCTGTAAACTTTATACTCAATGCTCAAAGGAAAACACAGTAACTCTAATTTGTTAAAATGTGGGTAATTAAAAGCACCCGTGTTCATTTAGGTACAATTAAAATAATTTTACTTAATTGATTAACCTTGGCTTAATAGTTTCATTTTAAAAGTTTATGGACCGACAAAACACTGGCACCGATGCGCGTGCGCAGGCGACGGTGAGCGCGAGTAATCCTGGGTTCGAATAATGGGAAAAATAATAGCTTTGTTTGTTAATAGGACGTCTGTCTGTCTGTTTAGTAAGCTACTATCATAACAGCATACTTATATATGTATCTTAAACCATTTTCGCAGCGAACGCAACTGAAACCATTAGATGAATAATTTTCCACGTTTCTTCCACTCTTGCGACTATATCTTCGCTCCTATTAGTCGAATAATTGTAATGTTTTATAGCCTATAAGGCTATAAAACATTACAATTATACCCTCCTCGATAAATGTTCTAACGAAGACAAAATGCCACCAAACAAACAAACTCTTCATCTCTATATATTACGAGTAGTATAGATAGACAAACACGTTTGCTCTACTATGTCTATGACCGTTGCACTTTTCTACAAACAAATGCGCGACCGCCCACTTTTGCCCGATCCACTATTTATTTCCCGGGATTCAAACTTAGCACCTCTCCCTTGATCACAGTGCATTACGTATTTTATGGACGCACAGACAGGCAGTCGACCATCTAATAGAGTACTTATTGCTTTATTTATATTGGTTGCGTTAGGGCGGACTCACCTTTGCAGTTCACACCCAAACCAATTTGCCTAAATTGTACATCCGATGTACACCCCAACTATCAAGCGATTCATACAACTACCGCAGCCATATTTTTGCCGCGCGCGCTGTGTCGCCCACCGTGCCCACACGATAACATCCCACCACGCATGCGCGAATTGCGCGCGCATATATATTCAAACGCACACCGCGCCAACATCAGTCAATCGGTGTACGCCGCGTGGAGCGGTTGTATAGTGTGACACTGTAAACATTACGAGCGTGACTTCGGAGTCTATCAAGGTAAATAATAATTATTATAACGTACTGCGCGCGCGGCTAGGCACACCATCGGAAATAACCCCGGGTACGTGTATATCGGTATGTGTGTGCGCATTGCGAATTGCATCGTTGCACCGTTAATCTTGTTAACTTGCTGAGCGAACTTTCGTGAAGTCCGATGGTGGTAGTAGTACCTTTTGAGTAAAGGTTTGTGGCTGAATCCGTTATGCGTCGTAGAAAGCAACTTGGCAGTATCAAAAATTCACTATTCGTGTACGTTGTAAATTTCGATATTCACCAAGTGGGAGGTACTTGCTTCTTAATTTCAAAGGTTAATAAAAACTACCTCCAAAAAAATATGTGTTTAGGTTTTAACTGTTTTATGGTTCCAGTCCACCATGGTCTTACGAAATCCACTCGTGGAGACAGGTTTCCGCGCTATCGCTACTTGTTTAACTTGATCTACATTTTCCCTTTATACCGATTACGGAAAGAGGGATGCACTAGTTAATTATTATTCGGGGTCGCGTTTCACCGCGGGTAACCAAATCAAAAATCCTTTATTCATGTAGGTAGCCGAGTGCATTTATGAACGGCGATACTATTTAAAGAAGTAAAGCTACTTTATACGAGCGTAGAATAATCGAGAAGTACTAGCAAGAAGTCCTTAATCGCCATTACCATATTAGGTTAAATTAAAAATAATAATTATGTTTAATCAACATTGATTACTTGGTTTTACATTAAAATAAAGAAATTTATTTTAAACCCCGTACCGACGCTGTTTTTAGACGTATCAAATACTTGTATGCAGTTGCATTGATGTTCAACGTTGTTTACTATGAGCGGATGTTAGCAGATATTATCTATTATTTAATTAATACAAACGAACTAATGAAGTTAGTATATTCTATATTTAAATATAATTTAAACCCACGTATTGCCTGACAAGACGAGATGTCATATTTAAATACATTTTAACTGTATGTTCTTACAAATAAATGTAGTTGCGGAGGTAGATAGAATAAATATAGGGAATATTTTGAGCAGAATCCAAAAATATCACCAAATGTGTTGATAAAAACTCCATAGTGCCCTGTTAATTTTTCTTATATAAATCATCTCAAATTATGATCGAAAGTTATAGAATTTTGTAACCGTCAAATTAAACGTACTTAACCTTTTCTCTGAATGACGTATTTTTTATAAGGTCGACGACCGCGAGATCCTTTTGTTTTGATCAGAGCTATTTGTGTTCCATTACTGTACATAGAACAAAATTTTTAGGAAACTATCGCTATGGTTCTTTAGGTTATTTCTAACGTAGGTAGGTCACTTTAGTTTAGTCATGCTAACGCACTATACTTACTTACTCCGCTGGCGCAGCGACCCAAAGTGAGTCTTGGCCTCCGAAACTAAAGAGCGCCATTTTTGCCGATCCTGTGCGGCTGTTCGCCATTCGGCTACACCGAGCTCGCGCAGGTCCTTCTCCACGGCGTCCTTCCAGCGATATCTTGGCCGGCCGACAGGTCGGCGGCCAGTCGGAATTCCGATATACGCTTTCTTGACACTCCGATCATCTCCCATTCTCTCCAAATGGCCAGCCCAGCGGAGTTTTTGGGATTTAGCTTCCCCCATTATATTGGGTTAGTTTACGAGGTTTTCGATCACCTCGTTTTTCCTGATTCTCCAGCTTCCATCCTCCCTTTGTGTCGGGCCAAGAATCTTCCGCAAAATCCTCCTTTCGGCCACCAGTAACTTTTCCTCTTCCTTAAGCGTCAACGTCCATGTCTCGCATCCGTACAGTAGAATAGGACGGATGACGGTCTTGTAGATGCTAACGCACTATAGGCATTTTTAAATCAATTTTAAGTGTATCGATGCACATAGCAACAGACTTTACTTTAATCCTACGAACAGTAAAGTTAGTCTTTCGTAATTTTTATAATCTCCAAAGAATCATAGATTCAAGATAATGTCGATACTCCATAAATAAGGAGATATAGCGGCGCTTAAAATAGCTACATGTAATATAATAAAACGATTTAAAGATTACTTTTTATATATAAGTTGTAAAATATATCTTCGGATGATCAGATAAATGTTTCATGCACGTAAAGAGTGACACCTCTTGATAAATGTTATCATTAACATCCGTTACCTATATATTCACATCAGCGAAATGTAATTAAAGGTACCTGAATCTTTTTATGTTTAACACTATGTATGTTTGTGTATGTTTTTACACTTTGATGGTATTTGTATTTCAAACGTTTTTAATTCTTATTATTTGTGTACCGTTTACATCTTACCTTCTAAATTTTGACGCGAATATTGCGCGGGTTGTTGCGATCGATGGACTAACATTCGCAGTTATCAAAAACTTTTTTAATTGCTACACTTGGAAAAAAACACCATTACTCGCGTATAAAGGGTTCCGTACCATTTTAAACTTTTTTTAGTTTTAATACCTACATGTTATCATTTATTGTTATCGTACAAAAGTGGGAAAAAATAAAGCTTCTTTAAACGCTAATATCATAAACTTGCATTCTTATTTTATTATATTCTTTAAATTAAATGATATAATATTTTTATCTATAATGTAAAAAGAATTACGTCAATACTTTCGCGTGTATCAATGCTAAAGTTCGTTAAAATCAGCCAACTAATACAAGAATAGATATCAATAAACGCCGATGTAATTAAATAATACTTTAATAACACTTATCGCATATTAAATACGAATAGGAAAATTTATTAGAAGACTTAGCAGCGTAATTTATTTTATAGCGTAAATGAAACGGTTTTAAATAAGAAATATATTAGTTAAATTATTATTTCTGACGTTACAGTAGTCCATCGCGTTACTTTCATTAGGAACTTTACATAAAGATATGTTGTCATGGTAACCATTGCTACCATAACAACATCCGTTGCTATGGCAACAGCTTGTTTAGGGGGAAATTTCAACCACGTCTTGCTTGAGTATATCCACGACCCGGTAGTTAGCGTAAGTTTGAATAAGTCTGTTTCACTCGCAATGTATACAAAGCTTAAATGTCTTTAAAATATCAACACATAAGATTCGTTTAGTATTGCGTAAGGGATTTTAAAATACAAACATACGATTTAAAAGTGCGATAAAGAATATTCTAGTTGTAGATATTTAACATAAGTAAGTATTATGTACAGTCGGATGCAGAAAAATGTAAAATTAACAAACAAAGTTAATCGATTTACTTTCATTAAGGAATAATTATAAGTATAATAAATCCTTTTAGTACTATACAATTTTTAACATATCGACGAAAATATTAGTATAATATATTATCTATTGCATAAAAAGGTTGACTATGCGTTTGTAGCTAGGATATTCTGCAAGTTCATCTATATATTATAATATGTTTTATAACATATTTGCTCGTATAGTGGTTGTAATTACACCAATTTCAATATCGTAATGTATCTCATTACGTACTTGTGCGATAATGTAATATAAAGGCACGTGTTTTTTTTAATAAAGTTTTAAGATACTCCGTCTAAAAATGAACGATACTTTTAAAAATCTTAGCAAAGAGGTTTTATGTCAAGAAAGTGGTCAATATTTTATGAATAAAATTAACTTTGGGAAATAAAATATAACAAATAAACATTTAATTATTTAACTTAATTAATTGTAAGAATTAATTACAACCATTTATCTATAACAAAAACACAAAAATATTAATTTACTTTATTAGTAATACTGGCTGTTTTTGTACCTTTGCCTAAAAAAAAAACGTTGATGCGCGCGCATCGCTTATTTGTGGACAAGTAAAAATAATTCCGCGCGCTTTTTCTTTTCGCTGTATTGTTTTTATTTGAAAATGTTGTCAAGTAATGATGAATTTACTGGCAACCTAACAATCACTTTTAAAAATTGTTAATAATTTTATAACTGCTTTAACAATTAATTAAAGATTTATTCGTTTAACTAAGTTAGAGTTTTATTAATTTCCTCGTAAATATGTTATAAAATGTCGTATGACATACGTGCGCTTTCAAAATTACAGTGTCTGCTATTCTTATAGCCCTCGCCGAGGGCTCGGGCTAGTAATATCGCCTCGGCTGTAATTTTCAACTTACCGCACTTATATCATAATGTGCTATTACGATACACAAAAAAAACTTTTGCGAATCAAAATTAATAAAAATCTGATTTTCTGGCAGACGTTATACGTCAATTTGTCATTAAAATTAGTTGGAATTTACTACCTTCGACTATACATAACCAATTAAAAATAGAACAAATCCAATATCATCGATAAAAGTAGATAACTCCTTTCGATATCTTAATAGTACATATAATGCAATCTAATGATATGAATAGGGTACTTTACAGTCCCCGTTTCTGGGTTCTTAGCCAAATCGGGCGAAATGTTAATTCAGTATTTGAAAATTTTCCAAAAAAAAATTCTTTAATTTATTCGTCAAAATTCACCAATTGTCGTTGGTGGAATTTCACGTGAAATGCATTTATCGTAACAAATGTTGTCTGTAGATAATGCGAATAGTACAATTTTATTCAACTACCGGCCGACGTTTTGGATTTTTTGCAGCAGTCGTGGTTACGGGAAGCATGGTCCTTGTTAAAAGTGATTTATATTATTACTTTTAACTTTATTTAAACAGGCTTATTATACAGGCAATGTAATACAAAATTAACCAATGTGCGATAAAAACTAAAATGAAGATTGACTTTAAATATTTTATTAGCCTTAAAATCTACGAGATAAAAATTTAAATACTACTACTAGGGTTAACATTTGTGCAGAACATAAGATACATATATAAATAACACAAACATAATAAACAAATCAAATCAAATACTAAAAAACAATATTTGTTATACTTTTCATTGTTGCAAAACAAATGTTGACTTGGTTAACATTATCAGGATGTATAAACACAGAAGTACAATATAATTCAAGTGACATAA